CCAACGCTTCGTGGAGCGTCGTTTTCCAGCAGCGCGTTAGCCATGCGCGTGGGCAAACACCTGGAGGAGGCTGGTGTCTACGTCGGGCAAACCCCTCATGGGTTTCGTCGTGGTACTATCCAGGCCACGCAGGCCGCTGGCGCTTCCCGCGCGGAGCTCCACGCATTCTCCCAAATTCGCAGCGCCCAAGTCCTGGAGCGTTATACCGACGCCTCTCGGCCCACTCGAGTCCCTCGCGGCTCCGGTCCCAGATCCTAGCTTCCGCCTCCTGCTGGTGCTGCCCCTCTTGGCCCTGGCGCTCACATCGTGGCTCGTCTTCCTCCCCTCTCCCCACACATCGACGGGCGGGTGGGCGGGTTCTGACTTGCGCTTGCTTGCACGGTTGACTGGCGAACTAGCGTTGTCTGGATTCAGCGCTTTGTTCCCAGCTAATCTTTGTAACGCACTACCGTATCAGTCACTGTCCTCTGGCCAATTCCGGTCTGCTCCTCCCGCGCCGCACTTGCCGTACTACACTACAGGACGAGCACTTAATCAACATGCATTTCTGTGCTATGGAGGCCTAAGCTGAAGCTAAAGGCCTCACGACAACAAAGGAACTTGTAGATTTGAGCGCTTCACAACGCATCGCGCATTTTGTTCGAGAACCGCCATAAGGCGTAAGGATGAAGCAATGAGCACCGATGCGCCCAGTACGGTGTCGAGTACCGATGCGCCGTGTAATCCACGTACCCGTATTTACGGGCATTCCACCTGTACGGCTTTTCGTTACAATAAGCCTAGGACTAATTTTTCCAAGCTGCAAATAACTCCCAGAGTCATGGCGCAACTAAGCTCTTCATTACACACTCAATCATATCGATAGATACCAACTTACTCAGCAGGGATCGTATCGGTCAATTGTTTTGATAAGGTTCGTCCATCCACCCAGCCACAAAACCACAATAAACATCCATATCTTAAGTTCCTTTTACAGCTTCAATTACTGCTTCCGCTTCTGGTTGGGCTGGGACGCATTCGGTAAATTTTCCATTATCATCCAAAGACAGCAGTGTCATCGTATATATTATGGAAATATAGATTAAATAAATAGGGCGTATATACGTATATAGATTCACTGTATGTATAGGATGATCTATAGGCGGTGCCATGATATACTAAATATATATGGCTTTTAGATGACCAACCATTTTACAGACACCGCTAGCTGCTGCTGCTGGATCTGCTAAATCTGCTGCATTTACACGTTTGTACAGTCAGTTTCACTGCTGTCGCTGCATGCATGCCATATTCGCCACATACGCTTGCTACGGTGTACATACGGCATATGTGTTTTCCCCATAGATCGTGGGAATACTGAAATATCAATGTGCATACAACCCCGTATCTGCAGGGGCAGTACAGCGATGTCGCCCTTTAATGCGAATTCTCTTGCCTGTTCATCGTCTGTCACATAGGTGCTGCTGTAGGCAAGATGGACGGTACGTCATCGAACGCAAGCAGGTACCCCGAAGCGTGCCTACTGCTGCTGCTTTTGCTGATTGCTGCTGGCGCGAATAATGCTGCTGCCGCAAGCACTCCAGCCGCGATTTCATTATCTTCTCCGCCACCTCCGCCTCGGCCAGGTAAGCACACCTGGGCTATTCACATATGATTCCGAGTGTGACACGGTGCGCGCCCTTATCACCCGGGGGCCGGGACATTACTACTGGATCTTGGATGTAATGCGGAGTGGTCGGTGATGGCGTGCGTCCTGCAAGCCAACATATGTTACCGGTGAATTTAAAATAAATCCGGCATATTCCCGCCAGCGGATGATGATGGTAGGTACCAGTGTTTTTAAAAGTGGTTACTAGTGACCAAGTGGTTACTGAGAATAATTCCCTTCCAGAAGGTGGTCACAAGGAAATGTTTTGAGTCACCTGCCAGTAAGCAGGGTTTCACCAGGAAATTGGGCCACAGACCCCCGTAGCGAACACCTAAAACATTGTTCCGGCCATATCTTTCTGTACATATATCCGTACGACATATAAGCGTCGTCTTGGCTATCCAAAGCCGTGAATGAGCGTTGTGAAGTTGGATCTTCGGATGCATGGTTGTATTGGGCTCCTGTTCAGCATACTCGCTGGGGAAACATTTTCCTAAGGTGGTTACCAGGCAAACCCCCCGCAGTAACCACTTGGTCACTAAAAAATTACTACGGTCAAAAAGTTTTAAAAACACTGGTAGGTACATAGCTGGGTGATCAACCGAAGTCTGTTGCTGAAATTGGAAACAAGTCGGGTGTCGGCTTCCTTGAAGCCGGAAAAAGGGCGGGGCCCCCCTGCATCCGTACAGGCCGGTAGCTAGGGTAGTGTCAACGTCGTGGGAGCTGTGCTTGTTGCAGCAGTGCTGATGCTGTGGGAGCTATGCTTGTCAGAGCGCGGAAGGCAGGAAGCCGTGGCTCATAACCTGTTGAAGAGACTCTCTGGAACCTAGCAGACACGGCCAAGAGTAATTGGCCGTTACACGTAGTCGGGAGGTCCGCGACCTGCCACCGACAGCCCCTTGCTTGGCGCAAACGTATGATGCTGAGGTGCCGTTACCGGCACACAGCGGGGGCTCGGCCGCCAAGTCCGCCGTCCAGGCCGGCTGCTCAACGCTCAGCAGACACAATCGCAGCTTGCCAGCCTTCAGCCTTTTGGCTTTGCGGTCTGGTGCCGCAGCCCGAACACACACGGAAAACAGCGCAGTACAACACCATGCACTGCCAACGGCGCCCCTTCAGGCGTTGACC